GCGGGTGGTCCTCAGGGCACAGCGCTGGGGAACGTCCTCCGGGCTGGGCGCCCTGTGGCGCGGTGGCTGGAGGTGATAAATACGAGGTCACGCAGCCACAGACGAGCACTGTGAGGACTGGCTTCCGTGTCTCCAACGCCATGTCTGGTTTGGTTTTTCACCAGGGAGCTACCTTTTCAAAATGCACAGTGAATGGTTCCATCTGTTATTATTCAAGAAACGGGCATTGATTGCAGCATCGAGCACTCATCTGATTTTTAATGTGCCTTGACGTCGACAAGGGTCACACAGGGTGTGGCGTGAGAGTGATCACCTCTGTGTCAGGACAAAAGCCAATGGCATTTACTCTAATGCGTGGAGGCCGAGCTGGCTGGCAGGGAGGGACAGGCACTCGGAGGGGGTCATTCACACGACCAACAGCCCCCAGGGCTTAGCGACATGTTCGTATGGACGTGAGTGGTGAGGACGCCAACCTTAAAGAGCCCCACTCCCACTAATGACATGCTTTACCTTTAGAGTCTTCCTCTTGGAGGACGGAAGCCTGAAGATACACAACGTGACCAGGTCAGACGCCGGGCCCTACACCTGTGTGGCCACGAATCAGTTCGGGGTGGCCAGGAGCACAGGCATCCTCCTCGTGAAAGGTACGTGGTCCCTCGTCTGTGTGGGGTGAACCCTGGGGACACATGTGGACACCACGGCCTAGCTCAGTGTCAAACCCGCATCCTATTATACGTGGGAAAGGTTTGATTTCAGTTTACTAAGCGCTGAGTCCCCTGCTCATGAATGGCACGTGCTCTCTGCCAGTGGAATGCCATGGCTGACGCCAGCACGTCAGCGCTCGAAATGCTGCCAGCGGGTACTCAGAAAGAGTTAAACCCTGCACCTAAAATATCTGAATTTCCACAAATGCCTCGGTGTGGGGGGCCGGGGACATTGGGATAAAGTCGGTGAATGGTGCTTTTCTTGGTTAAGTTTCCTTCAGAAACTCCCATTTTGTATGAAATGTTTACCTGGGTATGAGGCTGCTTGGTCCATAACCAGTTCATTTATTTCTGTAACTCCAGGTAGTTAACCCATGAAATGCAGACTCTCTTGCATACACTTTAATAGTGTTTTTTTTTTTCCAAAGAGAAGAAAATTAAACCAGGAGTGTCCGTACGGGTCACGCNGCTCTCTTGCATACACTTTAATAGTGTTTTCTTTTTCCAAAGAGAAGAAAATTAAACCAGGAGTGTCCGTACGGGTCACGCTATGTTCCCATCGCGGTAAACAGAGACGCTCATACAAGCTGGGTGGTGAGCCCGCTCTCTCCCTCCGACTTCAGACGGCATCACTCCCAAAGCACCTGCGTCCGTCACCGGGGGACGCAATTAGGGGAGAAGCGTCTGCTCCCTGATGTTGCCACATCACTGTATTGAGCCCAAGCTCCTAAAACCGGCACATTCACCGGGAGCCACGTCGCTCTTATCAGTCTGCTGCCTCCCGGGTGATAGAAACGGTGGTCTGATAAAGTCGTCTGAGCAGCTAATTAAGTCCCAATGATCAAATTCGGAAATTGGTGCTTTACCATCATTTTTATTAAGAATAAGTGTATTCAATAAAAAGTAGCTGCTACCTCCGGCTCTCCTTTAAACTGTCTCGGGGAACAGGACCACCCTTGCCCCTGGCAGGTGTTTCCACCGACGACGTCTCACACGCTCTGCCGCCAATTGTCAGCCGCCCGGGGAAGCGTGCGCCACGTGACCTGCGCCCAGCAGGGGGCACCCTGGGACGGCCTCCCTCCCTCCGGAGGGCGCTGCCACCAGGTTTCTGAGAGGTGGACAGTGCTTCAAGGAGCGGCCGCAGCTACTGTCCTAAAAGGTCGCTTCTCCGGCACGGGTCTGGCAGTGCCCTGGGCTGGACTGACAAGGGTGGTCAGGAGCAAACGAGAGGTTTCGGCAGAGCTGATAAAACAATCATCTCTCTTTGAATTTCTTTATCAGCCTCAGTCATGCAAGGAAAGTTGTTGTTCGACAGCTTGTAAGGAGATAATGGTTACAAGACTGAGATATTTCCCGGCTTAGTTTTTAGCTGATAAGGCTTATCTGTGTTTAGAGGATTTGGAAGTTGTCTGGGCTGCGTATCCGAAATGTCTGTTTCCCTGATGCACCAGGAGAAGGTCATTTCTATCCAGGCATCGTGAGCACTGTCAGCACCGGCCGCTCCTGGTGCGTGACAGAGGGACACCGCCCACGGGCACAAACAGGGCGTCGAAGGGGGCAGAGCTAGGGGTTCTCGCGCGGGGGGACTGGGGTTAAAGTTACAGGGCGACATGCGCGAAGAGGACATGAAAATCACATGCGAGGGGAATGCTCCGAGCTGGCATTTGGAACATTATTAAAACGCAGAGAACAGCAGGCCATAAAGATCTCGTTTGCAGGCAGCATTTGTTTTCCTCTCCCCACCGGAGAAGTTCGGGATGTTCAATTATAGGCCTCATTGCTTCAGCATGATTTTCCATGAAACGCCGGAAGTTGGAAAGCACGGCTAATGCGCAAATTAAGTTTACTGCCGTGCATGTTGGTTGCTTATCCTGCGTGCTGGAGTCTCTGCGACGCCAGCGAGGTCCCTGTCCCGCTCTCCGGCCGCTGACAGGGGTCTCCGCTTACGGAGAGAAACTCCAAGACGGGCAGTGAGCCGAGGCTTCGCGTCTTTAAGAGGCAGTTTAAGGGTCCGAGTGTCGAGTCAGCTCCGAGGAGAAGCGGCTCCACCGAGTCCATCACAAGCACCGTTTCAGAGACGACGACACGCACTGGAGTTCACCGGCCAACTTGGGGTTGAAGCAGCCCCACCGAGAAGTCTCCCAGCTCTGCCGACATGGGCCTCAAAAGGCTGACTTCTCCCCGTTCCCTGGCCCAGCCCACTCTGACGGGGTTTCCTCCCCAGATTTCGCACGGGCCATCCCAGTGTGTGCTCGGTACCCGGCCTCCCTCACCTCACAGAACGCACCAGCTTTCCCCGCCCGGTTTTATTAAAAGTAGACAGGTGACTACAAGAACCCGTGGGCGGTCACACTGCAGAACCACCGTACAGTGCACCTGAAACGAATATAATNGAACCCGTGGGCGGTCACGCTGCAGAACCACCGTACGGTGCACCTGAAACGAATATAATCAATTTAAGGTTCCACGCCGGCCACACTTAGATTAACTAACTTAAAAATAAAAAATTTAGGACAAAACAAAAATTTAACAGCAGCAGGTTTAGTCCCTGCGGGAAGGTGTCTGGATGCCCCGCGTTTCTGCCCGCAGGCCCCTCTCCAGCCTGCAGGCCCCTCTGTGCTGAGGATCTGGGGGGGCTGGAAGGTGGGGATCCCCCGACTCCACTCTGATGCCGAAAGAAGCACTCAGGCGGCTGTGTTGTCACAGTTCTGTGTCTAAAGAGCTAAGTGGCCACTCAAGCTCTGGGCTGTTTAGGAAAAATGTTGTCATTCCTAAGAAAAGACCCTCAGACCCAAGTCCGGTTTTCGGTCTGCAGATCGTGAAAGCTCAGGGAGCAGGGAGCAGGTTGTTCCAGGTCCAGGGAGGAATGGAGTTGNTGTCATTCCTAAGAAAAGACCCTCAGACCCAAGTCCGGTCTTCGGTCTGCAGATCCTGAAAGCTCAGGGAGCAGGGAGCAGGTTGTTCCAGGTCCAGGGAGGAATGGAGTTGAGGGAGGGAGGGAGGGTGGAGGCGGAAAAATTATCCCATGAAACAAACTCGCCGGAGTCTCCTCTCCTGGCTTCCATTTTCTCATTTTTTCTCCCCTCGCCCAGCGTAAATTCAGAGGAAAGCGCCCTTTCCTCCTCGGTCCTGTACCAGGGAAAGAGGAGTTTCCTAATTCTGCCTGCTACACGCCTAGAGAATGGCTCAGCCGACGCGCTAGGCCAGCCTGTCCGAGCGAACGCGTTCTCTATCAGCAACCCAGGCGCCTGCCACAAAGAGCGGCCGCCCGCTGCGTGCTCACGGCTCGCAGGCGAGGGCTGGCGTGCTGGGTGCATTCTGCGGCACCCGCAGCCTCGCTCGTCTTAAACAGACGTCAGGCCCTGTTTCGATCCCTTGTTAGTAAGGAAGCTCTGCGCTTGCGTTTCACAGGACGCCTCGCAGGGGGAGCTGACGGGTTCCCTTGCAGGGACCCGACGCACGTTTTCTCACTTAGACACCTCGCACTTCAGACAACTGCCCTCTCTTGCCCGGTGCTCCGCTTGTTTCTTTTGCCCTGGGGTTCTTGGTCTTTTAATAGGTGCCCTAAATCATTTAAACACTGAAGTGGAGAGTGAATGGGGAAACTGGACTATGCTGACCACGATGGCCCTGCGGTTGCACCTGCTCATGCTCGGCCGAGGTGGCGAGGCCACCGCCTGCTGCAGGGGGTTTCGATCCCTGAGACACTGAGCAGGTGACCTTGCCCCCGGCTGAGGGGATGGAGCACATCTGGGCCTCACACAAGCGCCTGTACAAAGAGGAAAAGTATATTAAATGAAGATTAGCAACCTGTCCCCTGCTGCTTTGCCAGAGGGACCGAGGCAACGTCTCCATCGGGCCGATCGCCTGCTTGTTTGTCTTCTCTGTGCAGGTTTATTTCAGGGCCTTAGCTCTGACTTGCTATGTTTGCTTTTCCCAGTTAGTCATTTTCTTGTTTGGTTGGGTGGCTTAATTTTCTATGGACTTGACATTCATTCACTCCTCAGATCGATCCCACTTGCGTTCCCTCAAAATCAACCTGCCCTTGTCGTGGGGGGAGCCCCAAGGCCTGAACCCCAGGGCTCCCTTTCTTGGTATAAACACGTGTTTGGGTAGAATGCCTCTTCCGGTGGATTTCTGAGAAAGAATTCAAGAGAGATGCAAGTTTTTTGAGATTTGTGTGTGTGTTTGAAAACGTCTTTATTCTGAGCTTAGCTGTGGTTGGCGGTTTAGTTGGAGGCAGAAGCCCAGCTGGAATCTTTAGTCCTCAGGCCCCTGGGGCAGTCACGGGCTCTGGAAGCCGAGGCCTGTGGACTCCTGACCATTGCCCATGCACCTTGGCTCCCTCCCTCTGCAGAGTCTGTTTCTCCTGGGGCTCCAGCCTCAGACTCGGGGGCCCTGGGGCAAGTCTGTTCACAACCAGCACCTTGGGTGTCTGGGGCCCTCGGTCACCTGGGAAGGCCTCCTTCTGAGCCCTGAACTGTCTTCCTGAGTAACTGAGTCATTTATTCCACTTCTTTTTCTGAGATATATACTATTTAAAAGTGAGATTTCCTACTCTAGGTTACGTCTGTCTGTCTGTCTGTCTGTCGATAAGGGTATCTATCTGTGTGTGTAATTTATTGTATTTCATATATTTAGATACATATATACATTTATATAGGTTGTATGTAGATGGATGGATGGATGGATGGATACCTGTTTGTTTCCCTTTTCTTTGTACATTTCATAGCTTTTCTGCTTAACTTCTCCGTGATTTTAACTGTATCCTCCAGACGTTCTATTTCACTTTTATTTTACTATTTTAAGTTGTTTAGGTGTTTTCTTTCCCCACTGCTCCTCATATAATTTCTTTCCCTTCTTCCCCATCTGACATGATTGCTGGTAGGTTGTCTTTTTTGCTTTCCTTCCCTTGCAGGCTCTGTCGTCCCAAACTGCGC